AGGCGCGTTAGCGGAATTTCCCAGTTTCGAAATCGGATATTATATTATGAAAGCTTTAGACGCAAGAGAGAGAGAGAGAGAGAGAGAGAGAGAGACTTACCTGCTTGTTGTTTTTCTGGTGGCCATAGCCGCGATCTTGAAGGACGTGTATATCATTTCAGCGTTTTGTCATTTTTCCAGGATAGCAAAGAACACTCGTCATTGGATGTCTACCCAGGTTGACAGGCACTGATACAGATCATATACAAATGATTTATTCTTATTAGTCTTTGAGACTACCCTCCTCACCCGAATAGAATGCACGGTCATTACAGCTGTATTCAGGACAACTTTCAGTCTAGATACGCTGATAATGACCAGACGCTCTACCCGGGTGAAGACAGTACTGTCAGCTTAGAGCCAGACACAATTTCCAGGTCAGTGCATGATGACATCATTGAAGCCAATATGGCTGTTCAGCTTTTGAAAATGGAGGTAGCGATGAAAAGGGAGGATAGAAAATATTAGAAAGGTTTTAAAGCTCACACTACACACATCTAACTGCTAGTAAAGAGATCATAAGTTCTAACCCTCATCGAATTTCATCAGGAAAAAAGGGGAAAAAAACTTTAAAAAGATGACAGAAAGGACAAAAACTTCAAAAAGGCGCACACCTTAAATCGGCTTCCAATTGATGAGAAAGAAGATCCACCTTTTGCTCCATGCTTCCCAGCAGATCGAACCTCTTCTGGTGGTGGAAACAAGTTTGCGACAAACGCGCATGTAGAGGCATGCATGAGTTGCCGATGCTCATCAATGACATAATCCCTGTTCTTTTCTAAAAAAAGATCAGCTGAGTACGTTACCTGCGCAACAAAGGCCAGCATTCAAGAGAAACTAAGAAGTTTCAGAGAACTAGAACAAATGATTCTTACCAAGCCCATGTAGCTGAGTGGTACACCCATGAGCTGTCAATACACAGACCTGAGTCCAAATCCTCCAAAAAACAGGAAAAGACAGAACAGGCGATTCTTCACTACAGGTAAACCCACTTGATGCCTTACTTAGCTCTACTCCCTGAAGGTCATTCCCGCCCTCGGAAGCCCCCCCCCCTGAGCGCTACCGTCCCCACCCCCCCCCAAACCCCCTTGGTTAAAAGGGCTCACATGGCCATGCAACGAACTGAAGGCCTAATACGTGAGGATTCCAAAAATATACAGCTTGGAGGAGACACTGTGCCTGAGCACGTTTCAAGTCGTTTTCTTGCACACGCACAAACGGCAGGACTACAGACACTTAAGCACCCCAGTGCTCAACGGGTTTCATTGTGATTGAAGTACCCGGTTCACGTGACATTCATTGTTTTAGCCCATATACATTGTAGCACAAGCTCGGCCCAATATAGCGGTAACCAGGGTTGCTGGCGTTCGGGACGGGCCGAACGCTCGGCACCCCCTCTTCGGCCGTTCGGCCGAACGCGGACCCAAAAAATAAAAAATTAAAAAGAATTCCAAAAAATGTGAAAAATATATATGTTATACAGAAGAATAAACTAAACAACATTTGCCTCAACGTTACATCCAAATTCTTTACCAAATTTGAAATAAAAATCAAATACTAAAAATAAATAATAATAATGAAAATTAGAAAAAAAAAAACGAGAATGAAATTATTGAGTGGGCGAGCACGTTTTTGACACCGCCGTCTTTGGTGATTTTTCCTTTTTTTTTGGCTGTGACAAACGCCATGAAAATTTATATATGTGTATCTTACATAATAGAGAATATACAAATAAAGTTTGAAAAAATAATTTTTTTTTTCATGCCCCGAAATAAAGGAAAAACAAAAAGTGAAAAGAGAGACAAAACAAATTAGTGAGTGGGCATGCAAGTTTTGACACCACCATCTTTGCCGATTTTTCATTTTGTTTTGGCTAAACAGAATGGCTTCAAAATTCAGAGGGAGATACCTTACATCACAAAGAACTCACATAATAATTTTCAGAAAAAAATAATAATATTTAGGTGCCAAACTATTTTTTTGCGGGGTCCGAACCCCTTCAGGTTCGGGCCCCGTACGGGGACCCGAACACCCGGACGTTCAGGGGTCAACTTAGGGGCCTCCGTACATTCGGCCTGGCAACCCTGGCAGTAACAGCACTCTTTCCTCTTGAAATAGCACAAATTTCGCTCCTTTTTTCCAAGAACAGAAGCACAACCTTTTGGTGAAGATGCCATCCTATTCTGGGAAGCTTTAAATCTGGTTGCTTGCTTTTCCACCAAAGGCCACCCACACCCGTTTCTGCCAACAAGCCATTGATGCTTTTGCAAGCAACATGATGCTAATCCTCCAAATCACACACAAGTCAGTTCTAAGACGAGACACAATTGCGCGCACACACACACACACACAGGGGGATAGAGAGAGAGAGAGAGAGAGAGAGAGAGAGAGAGAGAGAGAGAGAGAGAGAGAGAGAGAGAGAGAGAGAGAGAGCAGGTTACAGAAAAGAATGAAAGAAGAAGATGCTACGGATTTCTGTAATTGTAAAGCATTTGGAAGTCAGGTGAGGATATTGCAGAGGACATGGAGTGTGACACAGGACACGTTATCAGGCAAGTCCAAACTATAATTCACCACAGTCCTAGCCATCTTCAGTAACCCCGCTTGACTTCCCTATCCTGATCCCTTTACTACACCCCCTTACCGCTCCCATTAAACCGCCAGTACACAGCCCCAGCCTTGCACAAATTTGTTAATTGCCTGCTCCGAAAGTTTTGCGGCTCGGGCCTACAGGACCACAATGGCTGGCAGTGCCAGTCGAAAAAGAAAAAAAAGTGTGCCACCGTCGGTTCGGAAAAGCTTGGTGCACAGTACAGCGCCTCCAGACCCGGGTGTACTGGTGGCCTAGTACAGCTTTTTATCCATCCTCAGATACCATATGCCAGACGCACGGAAACAAACAACCTCAACTGCTGAAATTGCATATACTGTAAAACAACCACAGTCAGGAGCTATGTTATTCCTGCACTGTCCAAGCCAAAAAAACTCACCTCCCCAGCGTAATGATCAATTGCAAATGAAGTTCTGCCAAATTTAGGCCGACGGAAGCGCTTGTGATTTGCAAATGTGCTATACAGCAGGCTAGAGAATGACTGTGGGGTGGCCTTTGGGAACATACTGCAGCATGCAGGAGCCAAACAAGGACAGGAAGATTTCAAAGTAACGTCACAAAAAGAGAGAGAGAAAAAAAAACAATCACATCCAATTGCTTACACCTCCTTCCGTCTGCATCCGAATAGAATGCCCGTTCTTTATAGCTGTATTTGAGGAAGGTTCAGTCTATAGAGTCTAGCTACAGCGATAATGACGGGGCAATGCGGGCATGCTATTTGGGTGAAAACACTAGTCCAGTGCTGATTGAAGAACTCCTGGCGCTGGGATTCAGTCGCAGGTACTGAGCATCTGTCTGTTCCATTGCTCCTGCGTGGATGTTGCTGTGGAGTTTTGAACCAGGTAGGTTGGTATGCAGCTGAGCAATTATTGGCGGCATCTTTCATTGAGTCTTTTGAACAGCAATTATTTGTTTCCCCGATCGAATATCCATGTGTAACAATCGAGTGTGCACACGTCATCCCAGCACGAGCGTAAGGGCATACCCACAAGTCCACTTTCTGAAATGCATCTGATTGCAACTATGGACAGACCCAGCCGTAAGAACATGACTGCAATCACATCCAGAGCTTGGCGTGAGTATGCCCTAAGACGGAGGAGTCGACAAAATCCAGCGCAATTCCTACACTCTGCCCTGATTTTCAAATCCACACGATTGCCATGAGGAATGATGAGGTAGGAAGACATTCCACATTGCAATCAATCACACAGTTCCTTGAGTGACACAGTGATGCTCCTTACTTCCCCGAACGTATCTGACCCCAGTAATGCCCACATCCACTCGAATGGCACACTGACAGCAGGGGCTTTCCTGAATGGACGTGACTGCAATATGACGTTCACATTCACTCAAATGGCACACTGACACGACGGACTTTTCTGAATTTATCTCAGCACAAAAACGTGGATGCAATAATGTCCACATTTTTGAAATTGCCCTGGAGTAAACAGTATGGAGCATAATAGCATCAACATCCATTCGCATGGCACATGGCATATTGGCACGAGGGACTAAACAGTACTAAGCATAATATTGTCAACATCTATTCAAATGATACACTGGCACTCGGGAATTTCCCAAATGTTTCTGAATGCAATCCCCTCCACATTCACTTGAGATGTGAATGAATGTACCTGAATGCAATATCTTCAGTGTTCATTTAAAAAATGTCCTGGCATACGAACACCCTCATTGTGCTTTCTTAAGATGACCACCTCTCTTCTTTACTGCGCTCAATTGCTGATTTGCAATGTCCAAAACACTACAAACGTACGAACTTACTACGAAGTGATTCGCCGGCTCTTTCACAATTTTCATGACACTGCACAGAGTCAGTGCAGACACACATGCCGACGCAAATACACAAAAACAGCAGCCACAGTTACCCCACATGATATCCAACCACCACTTGTGTCTCTCTGTCTCATCATCTCTTTTTTTTTTTCAAAAGGGCAACAGCCTTGCGATATCATCATTAAACTGACCGGCCCCAAGTAATTCAGAATGATTTCATTCTGGTCATCTGATTGTATCTGGATTCGAACTTGAGACTGTGTTTCAACAGTGCTAGGCCCACTGGTAGTCTGTCTCATCATCTCTAATGTCTAATCTTTTTCAAATTTTGTTTCTTTCAACGCTAATCATGAGTATAATGTCTAATCTCTGATCCCTCAAACCGAACATAATGGGTCTTTCGTGACGATAGGTGGTTTTTCTTGATAGAGACCTAGTTCAGGTCCTGAATGCTACACACATGTGGCCATCGAACGACAGGTCATGTGTTCAAATCCTGGACAGAACGCGTGGAGCTGTTGATAAAGGCCCAGTTTCAAATCCTGCATGGCACATGCCTGTTGCTGCTGATAGCTTGAAACAGACCATCAAGATTTGTTGATCAACATATCACTACCATCTTTACCCGAATAGAGCGCACAGTCATTATAGCCGAATTCAGGCCAACTTGTGGCCTAGATACAGCGATAAAGACCAGGCATTCTGTTCGGGTGAGGACCGTAGTTCGAGTCCTAAATGCTGCTGATTATCCGAGCTCATCAGCTCAAATCCTTGTGACGTATACCACATTGTCCTTGCTGTCACCTGCTTCGCATCTTTTCCTCTACCCCTTCAGCCATTTTTGAGCTGCACCATAGCTGCGGCTGGCCTCTGCTTGTGGATGAAGAAAGGCAAACCTACCGTCTTCACCCAAACAAAACCTCCGGTCATTATACCTGTATTTGGGGCAACTTACAGTCCCGATTCAGCGACAATGACCGTGCGTTCTGTTCAGCTGAAGACGGTAGCTTTTTGTCATACACCTAAGCTTCCGACTTGCATGAAGTTTGTGAATTACCCAATGCCACATCGATGACACTATACAAGGACATTACAAGAGCACACAGCAAGTGCAAGTTACACAAATGGCATTCGAAAATGACATAACGTCAATATTTATTACGAGGGTATAAATTCAAACAGGAAAGAGGTATACCTACCATGCCTCATCAAGCAGAGCAATAATCCCTAGGGGTTTCTGCGACAACGAGCAACAGTGCAGGTGCATCAGTGGAGATTCGCTAACACACTGGTCTTTGTCACATTCTCCATTCCGCCCCAAAACAGCCAAGTCCTGTTCCCTTGTCTTTCATTCTCTCTATCTAGAGAACTTGGCATACACAAACATTGCTAACGAGTTATGAAAATCTGCAACAATCCCCAAAAATAATCAAAATTGATAAACATGTATCTGAAATTCTGAAATATTGATGCTTCTCATGTATATATAGAAAACAGTTTCAGAAGCCAGAGTCTTGAATATTTTGTCAAACTGGAGTTTTGGCTGCATAATAAGTATTAATAACTTTTGAGCTGTCCATTACCACCACAGTGACCACACCCATTGTCTCCTCCCAACTCCTCTCATTTGCTCTCATTCTTTTTTCACTCAACTCCTCTCATTAGCTGTCATTCTTTTTTTTTTTTTTCCCTCCTCTTTCTCTAGAAATTGATGTACGCAAATTTGAGAAAATGAGTAAAGACGAAACTCTCGAATACCCGATAAAAATGTCCGAGAGGGACGTACATGAATTTCGGCGTGAACAACAAACTCCACGCTCTACGGCTAACAAGTGCTACTTTGACTTCTTCAATCAGTCAAAAAGTTACAACAACAAACGCCGGCAGATGACCATCGTGCTCTTGCACAGCTATTCTTCCTATTAGGAGGATTGGCGGACAGAGTACAACCATAAGTATCCCGCCGTACATGCCATCAAGATTTCACAGGGGAAGGGAGAAGAGAACAGCAGATTGCACAAAAAAAAAAAAACAGCAGGAGAGAGGCAAGAGGCATGTAAGAGTACGCGCAAAGAGTAGCAGAAGCTCAAACTCAGCTCCAGTATTTCTTTATTTTTATTTTTTTTTGAAATAAACTCTGCTCCAGTGTCCTGTATTGCATGCAATTCTTCGAATAAAGCTAGGCTACCAGAGTGGCCCGGGGTCACTTGCCCGGCCGGGCAAAAAAGATAAAAAAAAAGAAATATTTTGAAATTTTATTTTATATTTTAAATTTGGTAAAGAATTTCGATGTGAGCCTGAGGCAAAAGTTGTTTAGTTTATTTTTTCTCCATAACATAGCATTTTTTCAGGTTTTTTGGATTTTTTTGTTTTTTGCTGGGACTTTCCCTTGTCCTTGCACGGGATGGTAACCCGGGGCCCGGGCGGCCCGGCTGGCAGCCTAGGAATAAAGTTCAATAAACGATATATTCTCAGGCCTGGCATTTTGATTCCTACAAGTCCCGATCTCTAGGCTTGTTGACCTCCGATTAATTATTGTTAATGATAATACTTTATTCATTTTGAAATTAGAAGCTAAAACGTATTTTTATTTATTTAAATTTTCAACCGCCACTAGGTCCGAGCATCATTTTCCCGAGGTGGACTTGAAGAACAAAAAGATTAAAAAAAAAAGCGACCCAGTGCGGCGCAACTGTTTTTCTTTTTCGCTGGTACGTCCAGACAAACAGATCCAGTGGGCCACGCCACACTGCGAATTAACCACCCTATCGGATCAAAATTGTTGGTTCCAAAACTAAAACAACTTATTTATGCATTTAAAAATTCAAACATATTCATTTGCTTCTGGCGAATATTGGATGTGACAACTAATATTTTTAAAAATTAAAAGCCGACATTGCACTGATTGCAGCGATTGCGCTTGTGCTACGTGTCGAGACTCTAGGCTTGATGATCTTTCATTTATTTATCGGTTAATTTACTTGTGAAAGTTGTGATAAGTTATCTAGAGGTCACAACTCAATTTTCTATTTACTTAAATATTGAAATTTAAAACATTATTAGCTAGGCTACCAGCGTGGCCCGGGGCCACTTGCCCGGCCGAGCAAAAAAAAAAGAAAAAAGAAACAAAAACTAGTTTTTTATTTTAAAGTTGCCAAAGAATTTCGGTGTGACCCTGAGGCAAAAGTTGTTCAGTTTATTTTTCTGCGTAACATAGTTTTTTTCAGTTTTTTTTTTTTTTTTTTTTTTTTTTTTTTGGTTAGGACCTTCCCTGGTCCTTGCACGGCCGGGCCATCCGGGAAGATAGGGTGACCCGGGCGGCCCGGCTGGTAGCCTAGACTATTAGTTGAAGAACTTACAAATCATCAAATTAAAACATTCCATTTATTTATTGCATATAGACGTCCTCAACCTCGCCCTGCGAGTTACCTTTCATCTATTCAATAGTTACTATTCACCACGGCTACGAGAGAGTATCTAACGAGCAAGAAGCAGAAGATAGCTGCGGTCACTGGCTGTCTGCATCGTCTGGACAGGAACAGTACCGAACGGGGACTAATCCCTGTCCAGGTGCTTTTTGTGAGAAAGGGAGTATCGGGCGAAAGTCTTCCCAAATGAATTTTTTCAGAAGATACTAGACGATTTCGCGACGCGGAAGGACGGGATCTGGAAGTTGACAGCCCAATTGTTAAAGCTGTCGTAATGTCCGCAGGCCCCCTACAGGACTTTGCCTGTTGCTTCTGTAGTTCACCTGGCTGCAATTGGGGCCTGATCCTCTCCTGTGTTTGTTGTTGCCTTTTCAGTTTTTTCTTTTTCTTTCTTCTTTTTTTTCGCTTTTTCATCTTTTAGAGAATGTTCTGTTTTCGGCATCACCATAGCCCGATACTCTAAAGAATTCACATGAACACCCCCTTGTCATCCTCCAAACGGCATAATGACACTGCAAACTTTCTCAAATGAATCTGCCCATAATTATGGTCACATTCAGTCAAAGAAGTCCTGACTATGCCATAATGCTCATTCGAAGAAAAACAGGATTCAGACATTGCAGAGCCAAAATAATAGACCGCCCCCCCCCAAAAAAAAAAAAAAAAAAAAAAAAAAAAAAAAGAAGAAACAAAAGAAGATATTCAAAATAACAACACCTTCTCCTACATGTGCACCAATCAAAAAACAAAACAAGAGCTTTCTATAGACTAGCACCTGGAATCTAGATTCTTGAGTGCAGATTCATGTCAGATGCGATACCGTCCGTACCTGGTCATTTAAATCATCCACATTCCATGTAATTGTTGTGACTCTTTTTCACAATAAGACGGCTCGATCCCGTCTTATGGATTTAGTCGGATTCAGTCAACGGCAATGAATACAGATTCCAGAACCTTCTTAGATGTATCCTTGGAGCCCCTTTTCATTTTTTCAGAGACACAGGGGGGGCCGGGGGGGGGGGGGGGGGGGGGGGGTCTGCCTTTAGTCCCGGAGAGACTGATTGAAGAATATAATCATTTGGGAAAATGGGTGTAACTTCGTGCAACATACAAGAGCGAGGGAGAGTAAAGGAAGGAAGATAATCGGGTAATACGGTTACACGCACACGGTACCTTTTCGATCAGATCTAGCACATCAATATTATCAAGGAACTCGATATCGCTCCAATTGATCTCCTCCCTCTTGTACTCCTCTTGTTCCATCTTAAATACATGCTGCATTCAATTCAACACGTACAGCAACACTTTTCAAAACAAAAAATCGCCACCAATTTAACAGCTTAAGATAAAGTGTAGTATCTGTTCTGATCAGTTTAATATCTGGTCCGTGGATAACAAACAAACAAACAAACAAACAAACAA